ACTAGTCCCTTTGACTAATTGTTCCCATGTGTCTTTGGTTTTCTTCATTCTTTTTTGATCCAGACAAGGAGAGACCAATCATTGCATCTAGATGTCCACTTGCATGCTTTTAAGACCCCAGTTGCTATTCACCAAAGTAGGATGTGGAACAATGTTTTTGTGTAGTATGCTATGCCAATTGAGCTTGATGTCCCCCATGACTTTGGTCCTAAGCTCACTAGTCCAACAACTTGCTCTGTCAGGATGGTTGACTGTGCCTAAGAAGTTATCAAAACTTTTCTATTTTTACGGACATTCTTGCACCTCTCTGTGTCTTCCTTTTCCTTAGTGTTATTGTGTCACTTCAGTTCTCTTTTGATTATTATTTGCACGGAATGTGTTTTTCCATTCTTTCACTTTCAACCCATTTGTGTCCTTGGGTCTAAGGTGTGTCTCTTGTAAACAGCATATAGTTGGATCTTTTTTTTTTTTTTTTTTTAAATCCATTCTGCTACGTTCTGCCTTTATTATTATTACTTTACAAACTTTATTTTTATTGTGATTTGGATGAAAGTTTACGGAGAAAATTGGTTTTCCATTCAACAATCCATACACATTCTGTTTTGTGACATTTACTGCAATCCCCACACTGTAACAGCATTCTTCCTATTTCCTCCCTGTGCTCACCCCTTCCCTTCAGTTCTTCCTTCCCGTCCCCTCCTACTCTCTGCATTTTCATTGGAGCAATTAGTCCAATTACATTCACTGTAATTACTCATGAGAAGTGACTGACTAATGTCATTTATTTATTTTTTTAAATATCTTAAACCATCTTTGTCATTGACCTTTACCACTGCTTGCTTTTTATGTGTTGGTTTATTGTAGTGAGGCATTTTGGTTCCCTTCTCCTTTCCTTTTTTGTATGCTTTTCAGATATTTTATTAGTGATTACCATAAATACTGCATTTAAGAGCTTGTGTTTATAACATCCAAGGGAAAGTTGGTACCAACTTAACTTCAGTAACATAAGAAATTCTGTACCTATGCCATTCCTCCTGCCCCTCCACAATTTTTTGTTGTTATCACTAATTGTATCTTTGTATCATGTGCCCTGTGACATAATTTTATCCCTGCTTTTTTTACATTTGTAAAAAAAGTGGATAAACTTAAATCATTTAAGTTTACATTTTGCTGGTCTGATAGAGCCTAATGGAACCACTGCAACTATGGCCCCTAGCTGCCTTTCAGGTCTGGAATTGAACCCACACCTGTGGCTTTCAGCCAAACTAAAGACAGGCATATGAGTTGAACATTTACCTGAGGTACATACACTCCTGGGAAAGAACAATTACAGGAGAATAGAAAGGCTGTGTATGCACAGGGAGACAGCTCAGGGGGCAGGAGTGCAGGGAGGGATGAACATAGGGAAGAAATAACTATGGGGAATAAGGGGGGCTGTTGCATTGTGGTAAATTATGGTCAATGACATGAGACAAAGTATATGTGAACTGCTGTATGGAAAGTGAATTGCTCTGTAAACCCAAATCACACACACACAAAAAAGTATACAGAAGACAAAGGCTTATTACATACAGAGG